CATGAGTGCTTTTGTGTACACACAGACACACACACACAAAAAAAAAATCACAGGGGGATTATAAGCAAATTCTTTTAACAGATGATGCATGGAGGGGATTGTAATCATTGCAATGAAACAAAATATGATCAGGTGAGTGCAAAACCAAAGTTCTCCCATGTTAACTATCACTCAATTCACAATTTTAAAAAGTCTGAGTGAATTAACATACTGGATGGACAGGTTTTCAGGGAGCTGCAAATTAATCCCTCAGAAATATCAGTATGTCAGTATCTATAAAGAACATATGCATGCCATACCATGTAACAGAACCTAGAGTGGACCCAAAGACATTGGTTGACTGGTAGGATGTGTGTTGTGAAGTCAGTGCCAACTCATAGTGACCCTGTATAAGGGTTTGGTTCTGTACATATTTATGGGAGCAGAAACCTCACCTTTCTTCCACAAAGTACCTTTTGGACTAGAACTGCTGATATTGTGATTAGCAGCCCAACATGTAAACCACTTCATTATCAGAGCTCTTTATGGTAAATATTCAAGTTTACATCAGACTATTACAAGCAAAAGGAAGATCTTCCCTTTGTCAAAGACAAGGTACTTTACTCTCTTAAACTTTTTAAATATAAGATAAAACAATTTATTTATAATGACTTTGTAAGTTAATGATCCTAGAGCACCAATAAAGACACAATGACTGGAAATATGATTTTGTTGTTGTTGTTAATTGCTGTTGAGTTGATTCCAACCCAACGTGACCCTGTGTAGGGTTTCTGAGGAGAAGCTGGTGGGCTTGAACCACCAACCTTGCAATTCAAATGGCTTTGCCATGTAGTGCATTAACCGACAGCACCACACAAGGACTCCATGACACTACTACCTTAATCCTCATTTGTACAACCTTGATCAAGACAGCATTTAAAATCCCCCTTCTCTTATATCCTAAACATGCTTTGTAATGTTCCAATTTTGAACACCTCACAAATACGTTTATTCCTGAATTTACTACTCAGGATTTAATAAACAAAAATGAAAACACTATGAAAATCACTTAATACAGAAAATTGGTAAAATCACTTAATAGAAAGTGAAAGAAAAGAAACAGCCATGTTGAAATAAAAAAGATAACAACTGTAGAGAGAGCTACTACACCAAAGGCTAATGAAACAAATATAAGAAAAATGTTGTTATTGCTAAAGAAACAAGTATAAGAAAAATGTTGTTATAGTGATATTTACTGACCATTATTGTAGGAACTTAACAATAAAGCCAGATTGAGAATCATAATGGTGTTTTAAAGATCTTCCACATTCAAGCCCCATCATCACAAAATATGATGGTGGTGGTTACGTGCCATGGATTCGGTTCCGATTAATAGTGACCCTGTACAGGTTTTCCGAGGCTGTAAATCTTTACGGGAGCAGAAAGCCTCATCTTTCTCCCACAGAACTGGCAGAGGCCATGTCACCAAAGGGCAGAGCGGTGGAGGACCCTAAACATGAAGGACTCATTGTTAAGCAAGGCCACAATGGGTCTTCCCTTGGAAGGCAAGGCCCCAGGAGGGATCTCAAGTGGGGACTCTGCAATTTCTGTCTCTTTGTTTTAATCAGTTTATTTTTTATATTTCTTGATTTTGTTATAGAATTTTTTAGTAAAACTCTTCAATGATCATATTACAGGTAGAGGCCATGATGGCTCTGATAAGAAATACATTGCAACAACACAGAATGGCGAGAAATCCTGCACATGAAAAGCTCATTGTTTTAGCAAAGCAACAATCTAGTGTCTCCTTGGTTAGCAAAGCTTCAAGGGGAACCTCATGCAGGGGACTTGCAGTCTCTGTCTTTTCCTTTTAAGAATAGTTCATTTTTTATTTTTCTTGATTTTATTATAGGAGTTTTTAGTAGAACTCTTCAATGATCATATTACCAGTAGGGGACATGATGTCTCTGATCACAAATACATTGCAACAACACAGAGCAGCGGGAGACCCTATGCATAAAGAAAGCCCATTGTACTGCAGAGCAGCAATGGGTGCCTCATTGATTTGGCAGAGCCTCAACAGGAGATTTCATGTGGGGACCTTGCTGGCTTTGTAGTTTCATTCTAATTCTATCATTTTAATAAGAATCAATGTTATAGGTAATCAGTATTATACTTATTATTCTGATTTAAGAAATATACATATTTTTTTTATTTTTATAATTTGATAATCAGACATTTTAAAGCAGTTGAAACACTGCCAGTATAGAGCTGAGATCATAATCTAGCACCTGTTTTATTTAAAAAATAAAAGACAGGTAAATGGCAGAGGCCATGTCACCAAAGGGCAGAGCGGCGGAGGACCCTACGCATGAAGGGCTCATTGTTAAGCAAGGCCACAATGGGTCTCCACTTGGAAGGCAAGGAGGGATCTCATGTGGGGACTCTGCAGTTTCTGTCTCTTTGTTTTAATCAGCTTATTTTTAATTTTCTTGATTTATAATAAAAGTTTTCAGTAGAATCTTAGAATTATATTAGAGATTTGAAACTTGTTTTTAGGCACCTTCACACCATATTCAATTATGCATAGTCCTAAAGAATGCTTTTCACACTAACAATAAGTTTCACCACTAGGAAAATCCAGCTACAGTTTTGCCAGTTCAAGTTTAAGATTACATTTAACATTCTGTGTAGTTTCAGTCAGGGACATTAAGACCTTTAGTAAATTAGTTAAGATGCAATTAAGGGCCAAGGGAATAGTAATAGATCATAAGCAGAAATTTAACTAGATGTTTTGTATAGAGAAGTTGTTTAAGGAAGTTGTTCCATTTCTTCTTAACTACAAAACTTTAAGTGCCTTTTTATGCTTCTTGTTTTTCTTGTTTAATCAATCATGAGAAACAATTGTGTTGTCAGTTACCATAGCAAATAATGTTAAGGTACATGTCGTGATTAATGAATCTATAGAAAATAATAGGTGAAGGCAGAAATAGGAGTTAAGATTTAGAATTATGTTTTAAGGTTAACCTGACATTTTAAGAACAATACGGTTTGCTTACAGAAATCAGATATTGTCTAACTACGCAAAGGGGAACAAGGACGATTTTGATATTCTTGATGTTCTATATTGAAATGATCAATATGTATGATTTAAAGCATTACTTTGAAAAGAATGATTAATAGATTAATGGTATGGAGTAGTATAAAAACTGTTTGAGAATCTGAAATAAAGAGAGTAGAGGATTCACTATTCATTGAGACCCATTGATTCTGTGAGCTTCATTTCTTCTCCAAACACCACATCTCCCTCCAAGTACCCCCTAATAAGTGTGTCGTGCTGGTCCCCGATATGGAACAGCTGGTAGTTTTGAACTGCTAACTTTAAGGTTTGCAGCCCAATTCATAACCACTATGCTTCTAGAGCTCCTTATCACAAAGTATGTTGTTGTCAGGTGCCATCAAGTCAGAACCAACTCACAGTGACCCCATGCACAGCAGAATGAAACAATGTCCAATCCTGGGCCAACCTCACTACCACTGCCACACTTGACGCCATCAATGATGCCACCTGGCTGATCCATCTCGTTGGGGGTCTTCCTCTTTTTCTCTGACCTTCCATCTTACCCAGCATGACATCCTTCTCCAGCGACTATTCCCTCCTGACAATATGTCCAAAGTATGAGAGATGAAGCTTAGCCATCCTGGCCTCAAAGGAGCACTCTGGCTGTGCTTCTTCCAAAACAGATCTATTGGTTCTTTTGGCAGTCCATGGAACTTTTAGTATTCTCCTCCAACACCACAACTCAAAGGCATCAATTCTTCTATGATCTTCCTTATTCACTGTCCAGCTTGCACATCCATATGAGGTTATTGAAAATACCATGGCAAAGTATAGGAGGGTCAGTTTTGAGAAGGGAGATAATAGGTCACCAACAAGCACATATGGAGAATTTCATGATGTTCAGGGCAGAGGCTCATACATAGAATTCTTCCCTTCTTTTTGGAAGATAGCTTTGTACCTGATGTTAGGCATAACCTGTCAGTATAGGCTTCCATGTGGCTAAAATGTTCAACAGGTTTCAGCAGAAACTCCTAACTATGATGAACTAGTAATAATGCCCTTGAAATTTACTTCCATAAATAATGCAATGACAACTCTATGGATTACAATAGTCTGATCCAAAAATAATTATGAGGATGGTGCAGGATGGGTAGCATTTCCTTCTTTGTAAATGGAGTCCCTATGTGTCAGGGAGCAAACTTAATAGAAACTAACAACATGATACAAGGGGAAAGATATGGTTATAAATATCAGGAGTATAGGGAATATCACTTGTTGTTCTTAAGATTAGGTTCTTTCACAAATTTCCTCTTGTGAGATATGATCATTTTAAGATCCTCATCATCTGCTCAGAAGAGGTAAATACCCAGAGAAAATGAGTCATCATTGAAGGAAAAAATCTAAAAATATGAGATTTCAACTTCGATGCACAATTAAATTACCTGTGTCACTTTAAAACCCTTATGATCAAGTCATAAGTTGTTCAAATCAGAATCTGTAGACGTAGGACCAAGAATCCATGCTTTAAAGATTACCAGTTGATTACAATATGAAGTCAAAATTTGGGACCAGTGACATACATAGTCTTCATATATAGATCCGTTGCATGAAAAAGTAGTCTAGAAAATAGATATGAATTACCATACAGGATAAAGTTTCTGAATATATAAAACTAGAATTGTGTATTTTAACAGGAATCAGGGTCATAGATTAGAAGCTACAGAAGGCTACATAGCTAAAATAGGATTTGATCCTGCAAATTAACAATTCCCAGAATACCCCCAGTATCACATTAAACATATGACAAAGAATGCAATGTTCAGGTATGGAAACTGAATATTGAAACATATGAAATCTACAAAAACTCTGAAACCAAAGAGGCAACATTTATGGTTGTAGATGTTAAATTTTGCCATCTTTATCAAGTCAGATATCCAAAAATATGGAACACATAGTGAAATTAGACTGTCCTACAGAAGAGCCTCTCCAGGGCTCTCTTAATGTCCCTGTTCCTCAGGCTGTAGATGTAGGGGTTCAGCATGGGGGTCACTACAGTATACATTATTGAAGCCACCGCACTCTTCCTGGCAGAAGATGAGACAGTTGAACTGAGATACGCTCCAAGTCCAGTTCCATAAAATAAGAAAACAACTGACAGGTGAGAGCTACAGGTGGAAAAGGCTTTATATCTTCCACCTGAAGATGACACTCTCAGAATAGAGGAAACTATCTGAGTATAAGAGAAAAGGATCCCTGAGACTGGAATGCAACCAAAGATAGCAGCAAAGATATACAAGAGTATGATATTTGTGGCAGTGTCAGAACATGCAATGTTGAGGAGTTGTGGAGGGTCACAGAAGAAACTAAGGACTTCCACATCTGAGCAGAAGGTAAGTTTTGACACCATTGAAATGTGCAGCTGGGAATCCAGAAGACTGATAAGAAAAGATACCAAAAGTAGCAAGCAACAGAGTCGAGGGGTCATGATAATTGTGTAGTGGAGGGGTTGACAGATGGCCACAAACCGGTCATAAGCCATCACAGTGAGAAACAGACTATCCAGACATGCAAGCATATATAAAAAAGATATTTGTGATAGGCAGCCCACATAGGTGATGGATTTATTGTGCGTTTGGAGGTTCACCAGCATTTTTGGGACTGTGGTGGAGATGAAACCAATGTCAGCCAAGGACAAGTTGAAGAGGAAGAAGTACATGGGGGTGTGGAGGTGGGGATCAGAGCTGACAGCCAGGATGATGAGCAAGTTCCCAGTTACAGTGATCAGGTACATGGACAGGAACAGTCCAAAGAGTAGGGTCTTCAGTTCTGGATCCTCAGAAAGGCCCATAAGAAGAAATTCCGAGACAACTGTTAGATTCTGTGACTCCATGACCCTGATATAGCTTCTGGAAAAATAAAAGAGGATTATTAAAAGGAAACAGGTCAGGCACTCAGCCTTGTATCTGTTATTTTATATTAATTAAAGAAATTTGGAAAGAAAACATGCAAATTGGCAAGTGTTTACACTTGAGGAATTAATACTATGATAACTATGATAACTTCAGCAATATTTCTTGGTGGTTCCAAATCCAACCGCTGAACTACTCTGAACTCTTCCCTTTCTTGTGCTAGTCTCCTTATTCACCCACTTTCAAGACATTGTACTGAAAAATGTTAGACTCTGATGGCTGTTTTTAAATTAAAAATCCATAAGAGTTCTATTGGTGCTATGGACTTCAAACCACTAGGCTGACAGTTCAAACACACTAATCATTCTAAGAGAATCAGGGAATCATTGAACAATATTATTAATATCACATGCAAGTAAATTATTTCTAAAGTTAATTTATAAATGGCTGAAACAATATATTGACAGAAAACTTCCAGATGCTCAAGCCAGATTCAGAAGGGATGCAGAATTAGGAAACTCGTTGTTGATGTCATATTTATCTTGAATGAAAGTAGAGAATACCAGAAAGATGTTTACCTTTATTGATTTTGTTGACTTTACCTTTATTAACTTCACAAAAGCTTTCAATTTTGTGAATCATGGCAAGCTATGGACACCATTGTGGAGAATGAATATTCTGGAACACTTAATTGTGCTCATGAGGAACCTGTACATACATCAAGAGGCAGTTGACTGAAAAGAACAAGGGGATGTTGAAAAGTTTGCCCTTCAATGAAGAAGTTGATAGAATTCTTCTATTTCATCATCACTGATATTAGTGGTTGGTGTATACATTTGAATTATACTGGTATTAACAGGTCTTCCTTGTTGTTAGGTGTCATTGAGTCGGCCCCAACTCATAGTGACCTTATGCACAGCAGAATGAAACCATGCCTGATCCTGGGCCAACCTCACAATTGTTGCCATGCTTGAACCCATTGATGCTGCCACTTGGCCAATCCATCTCACTGGGGGTCTTCCTCTTTGTCTCTGACTCTTCACCCTACCAAGCATGATATCCTTCTCCAGTGACTGGTCCCAAGCTGGACAATGAGTTAGGAAGATCACAGAAGAATTGATGCCTTTGCATTGTGGTGTTGAAGGAAAATACTAAAAGTGCCATGAACTGCCAAAAGAACCAATAGATCTGTTTTGGAAGAAGTACAGCCAGAGTGCTCCTTGGAGGCCAAGATGGTTAAACTTTGTCTCTCATACTTTGGACATATTGTCAGGAGGGAACAGTCGCTGGAGAAGAATGTCATTCTGGGTAAGATGGAGGGTCAGAGAAAAAGAGGAAGACCCCCAACGAGAGGGATTAGCCAGGTGGCATCATTGATGGCGTCAAGTGTGGCAGCGGTAGCGAGGTTGGCCCAGGATCAGACATTGTTTCGTTCTGCTGTGCATGTGGTCGCTGTGAGTCGGTTCCAACTCGATGGCACCTGACAACAACTACAACAACAATGAGAGAAGAAGTCTGGTCTGTTGGTTCTTTTGGCAGCCCATGGCACTTTTAGTATTCTCCTACAACACCATAACTCAGATGCATCAATTATTCTACAGTCTTCCTTATTCACTGTCCAGCTTTTGCATGCATATGAGTTTATTGAAAATACCATGGCTTGGGTCAGGAGCACCTGAGTCCTCAAACTGACATCTTTGCTCTTCAACACTTTAAAAAGTTCTTGTGCAGCAGATTTGCCTAATGCGATATTTCATTGATTTCTTGATTGCTGCTTCCAGGAGTGGTGATAGTTGATCCAAGAAGAATGAGCAACTTCATTCTTTTATCCGTTGATAAGAATGTTGTTTATTGGTCCAGTGGTGAGGTTTTTTGTTTTCCTTGTAGGTGTATGGATATTACCCTATCACAAACAGGATTATACTTCATGACAGATCTTTATATGTTCTTTTTGATGCGAGTGTGATGCCATTTCTCTTCAGTTTGTCATTACCATTATTATAAACCATGAAATTGTCAGCTTAAAAATGGCCCATACCAGTTCATTTCAGTTCACTAATGCCCAGGATATTGATGTTTATGTGTTCCACCTCATTTTTGACAATTTCCAATGTTCCTAGATTCATATTTTGCTTATTCCATATTTTGATTATTAATGGAGGTTTTACAGTGTTTCTCTCTCTCTTTTTTTTTTTTTTTTTTGGAGTTGTGGCTCATCAGAAAATGAAGTTCTCAAAGGCTTTGTTTCGTTCCCGTCATCACAGTCAACTCTAATTTGAGGAGGGAGCTCTTCCACAGAAGCAATTTGAGTGACTTTCAACCTGAGAGATTCATCTTTAGCACTGTATCTGAGACTGTTCTGGTGCTGTTCATTATGTTTCATTTTTCAGTAATCTGGTGCAGACTGTGTTCCACTGCTATTCATAAAGTTTTCAAAGGCTAAATACTTGGAAATAGTCCATCTCTACTTCTTGCTATTCCATCTTTGTCTGGAAGCTCAGTTGAAACCCATCCACTGTGGATGTCCCTGCTGGTATTTAATATACCCATGGCATAGCTTCTAGAATCACAGCAACACATAAGCCATAACAATATGACAAACTGACCAACAAGTGGTGAAGAACAGAACATAGGACTAGAAATATCATTGCTCAGATCAGACAAATTATGTATGAAAGCAAAAAATATCAGAAGTTATTTATCTGTGCTTTATTGACTATATAAATACATTTTAACTGTGAATCATAACAAACTATGTATACCATTACCAAAAATGTGTATCACAGACTCTTAATTGTGCTCATGGAGTCCTGATGTGGCACTGTATGATAAGGCATTGCATTGTAATGTCAGTTTGAACCACAATGTCGGTGGTTCAAACTCACCAGCCACTCCTTAGAAATACAACACATGCTCAGTATGAATCAGAATCAACATGACAGAACTTAACAACAACAACAACAATAACAACAACAACTGTATACATGAGGTTCCTGTGCAGAGAAAAAAAGGCAGCTGTTAGAATAGAACAATCGGACACAGAATATTTTAAAATCAGGTTATGTGTGCACCAGGGTTGCATCTGTTCACCATACATATTCAATTTGTATACTGAGGAAATAATTTGAGACACTGGCTTATCTGAAGAAGAACATGGCATCAGGGTTGGATGAAGACTAATTAACAACCTGCAATATGCAGAGGATCCAACCTTGCTTGCTGACAGTGATGAGGACTTAAAATTGTTACCAATGGAGATCAAAGACTACAACAATGCAATGAAAACAAAAAAGCTTCACAACTTGATCGATAAATAAAATCATGATATATGGAGTAAAGATTGAAGATGTTAAGGATTTCGCTTTGCTTGACCCACAATCAACATTAATTCAAGCAGCAATGAAGAAGTCAAAGGGGGAGGCGGGGCTTGATTGAGGCTAAGGTGGAGGTGCAGTGAGGTTCACCATCAGCAATACCACAGAATACCAGGCAAAACAGATTCACGGCAGAGCTCCAAAATTCGGAACCACATAGGAATATTTAAGAGGTTTGAAGACTTATAGCTAGTGGAACTTGTAGCAAAAGTAAGAAATTGTATATTTTTGAATCTGTCAGGTTGGCAGCCCAGAGCAGACAAATTGGATGACACCAAACTGCAAGACCAAGCAGTCGAGCAGACACACCACGGAAAAATGACGCGGGAACCTCAGAACAAAGGTGGACAATACACTTTGTTGGTTTTGCATTGTTCTTTTTTTTTTTTTTTTTTTTTTTGATATCTGATCATTGGCCCCACACTGTTTGTGCACCTTCATTCTGGTGTCTATAGGGGGAGCCTGAGAGAATGAACACACCCACCCACACCACTGGTGAATTCTTCTGCCAAGCATGTGTACAGATACTCTCAGCCTGAGAGCTGGCACTGAACTGTTTTTTTGTTGTTGTTGTTTTGTTTTTAATATGGAAAAGCCAGAAAAAAGGTCGTGGAGAGGGAGAGTTTAAAAACAAAACAGGCTCAAATTTAAATTAAATCCTGAGGTACAGCATAATAA